AGCAGTAAAGAACAGGGAGAGGGGAGAAAAGGGGACAGGGTGTGCGTGGAATCACACTCCCCCCAGAGCACCGCAGTGGATCCGTTCTGGCGCTGAAGCCGGCTCAGCCCACAGGCCTGATCCCAGCCCCTCCCCCCCTCCGGCCCTGTGCTCCCCATCAGGGCAGCGTTAGCCGCCCGGCCCCATTTAGCACCCGAGACTTGTCAGCTGGTCACAACAGGTGGCAGCTCCGCTCGTCCCTTTTCCGGTTCAGAAACCGACACCGTTGCTATTCTCAGCTCCGGCCCCAGGCCAGGGAAGGGCAGGAGGCCGGGAGCCGCAGGGGGAACGGAGAACAATGGGAGACGGGCGCAGAAAGGGAGGGAGAAGAGCAAAGAGGCCGGGTCGGCTGGGTCTTGCACTCCAGTTTCAAATCCCTACTTCAGCCCCTCGTCCGCGGCCTCCCCCTTTGTCAGAGGAAGCGGGACCTGAAGAAGGGACTGGGGGCTCCACCTCCCGACTGCACTGAGGGTGCTGGCTTGGCAGGGTCTGGCTTAATCATCACCAGCAAGACTCGAACTCAGGACCCGCAAACATCCCAGCCTCTGGCGGCTTGTGCTGCCTACAGGGCTAGTCGCAGGGGGGTGTACCAGGGCCGGCCACAAGAGGGAGACGTGGCCCCACAGAGGCAAGGGGCGCCTTTGGGACAGGTGAGCACGGCGCCCCCTAGTGGTGGGTTTTCAGGACTGCAACACGCTACTGTTCCCTCCCAGTGGCTCTAAAAACCCCCGGTTTGATCCAGGGATGGTGTAAAACGGAGGGGCTCAAATTTGACAGGTCATGAATTCATTCACGTTAAGCCCGATGGATGCTCCAATATGGCATTGACATCAGATTTACACGGGTGTCAATAGGGGGCCCCCATACCAGCACCTGGCTGGGCTGACAGCAGCTCGTTAAGAGGCATGTCACAGGCCACCCTCGCTATCGCCCCAAGACACGGTCCAAAACATGGACTCCCAGCGAAATGACGTAAAGAGGGGAATTTTTTTTCTATTTGCACCAATTGTTGGGTTTTTTTTCCTGAGTGACATAAGAACGGGGAATGGATACGTTATAAACCCTCCCGTCCCCACAAGCATCAGCGCGGAACAGGGCACCTTGTACTCTGGCGTTACGTTCGCACTCCAGTGGATTCGCACGGGAATAACAGGTGGGTAAAAAGCAGGCTCAGAATCAGGCTCGGTTCCACGCATGGAAAAGGGGAGCCGGGAGGCAGCCCGATTCCTGCCTCGTCAGCCCTGCAAAAAAATCCTGAACCAGCTCCTCTCCCCAAAGTAATTTACGATGTTTGAAAATGGATGCACTTTTTATTTGCCTACTGCATTTTGAGCCTGGGGGAGAGGGGGGAGACATCACGAGGGCAAGCCGCTCTCCCCCACCACGAGGGCTAGAAACGTACGACTCTCTTCTTTCAAAATGGAAGCCAAGAGGCCCCCGGCGCGGCTGGACTCCAGGCTCCGGGGCTTTCAGAACAAGGAAAATCAGGAGCAAATGGTTAGAGCAAAACCGCCCGAGCTGGCGACCCTGGAATTCTGAGCTGACTGCCCCAGGAGGAATCAGGAGTTTAAACACTTAGGGCCAAGGCTCCTCTTGTGTCTGTACAGCACCTTGCGCCCTGGGCCGCAGGTCCTATGTGCTCCCACAATACAGAGGTACAAGGAATAAGATTAAGAGCAGGCATTTATCCCCGCCAGTCCTGCTCACGTCCCGGCAAAGCCATGAGCTCAGGGCCGCGGGACTCAAGCGATTGTCAGGGAAAAATACCTCGCCTGCCCAGGTGTCAACCTCTTCTCTCCAGTGCTCCCCCGATCCAGCAATCGCCCCCTCGCCCGGACCGCGGAGGGGGCAGGAGAGCGGGAGCATTTCATCAGCTGGTGAATAAAAGACGGGCCAAGAACCGGAAGCCAGGAGGGTCCCGGCCGCAGCCCCGGGGCAAAACACCCGCCCGGGTTTCGCTGGCTGAGCCAATTGCTCGCAAGGCTGCGGCTCCCGGGACAGGGTTGAGCAGGGGTCACCGACCAGGAAGGGGGCGCAGGGCAGCTCCCCATGGCTTGCCTTGCTGGGTCGCAGGGAGGCGTGGGCCCCGCAACCTGCGCTCCTGTGGTTGGGTAATACCCCCTGTGGAATATACACAAACACACACACACACACCGCAACCCCGCCTACGATCAAACACGCCCACGTGCACCACCGTAACATCCCACACGCAGGGCGCACGTGCACAAGCCTGCACTCGCACGACAGTGACGCACGCCGGGCGGACGCACAAGCAGGCGCACGCATAGCTGTGTCCCCAGATACGTACAGCTGTGTCACACCGGGCACGCCCAAACTCCACACACACACACGCAATGAGGCACAACCGCTCACCACCGCGGAGTCTCACAATCTGGGCACGGGACGAGCTGCACTCCGGCAGGCAGCAACCCCTCCTGCTCTCCAAACATTTACAGCCCCTCGAGCATGATCCCAGCCTCGTGCCACTGGAGA